CCCGAGGGGACCGCAAGCAAAAGAAGAGAGACCAGAACAAGTCTGCGGCTCTGAGGTACCGCCAGAGGAAGCGGGCAGAGGGCGAGGCCCTGGAGGGCGAGTGCCAGGGGCTGGAGGCTCGCAACAGGGAGCTGAGGGAGAGGGCCGAGTCGGTGGAGCGGGAGATCCAGTACGTCAAGGACCTGCTCATCGAGGTGTACAAGGCCCGCAGCCAGAGGCCGCGCAGCAGCTAGCGGCCGGCGGGGGCAGCCAGCCCTGCCTGCCTCGTCTGGGCGGAGGGGCTGGGCCTTCCGCCACCCTGGCCCCGCTGCAGTCTCTCTCTCTGCCTTTACCTTGGTCTTTTACCGATTTGAGAATTTGCCCCTGCCCTCCCCACCAGCATGAAAGATGTTCGGCCTTCACCGGCATGTTCACCCCTCAAGTAACAGCTGAGAGGGAGTTTAGGAGCAGGGGGCAGCTTGGAAACCCGGCAGAGGAGTCTAGAGCGCTTCGGGGGGGCAGTGGGGGAGGGCTCAGAAGGGGCCCGGGAAAGCAGGCCAAGAGGCCTGGGGAGGGCGGCCGGGGCAGGGAGCCGAAGATGGCCAGGTCACAGCCAGTGGCCATGCAGGCAGTGGGGAGGCGGGCCGGGCGGGGAGCCTAGTTGGGACTAGTGTTCATTTTAGCTCTGGGAGGAAATCAGTGTTTTGTGAAGGTGTTGGGGGAGGGCCTGCAACAAAGTGGGGGGTCGGGGAGGTGGACGGACGGAATTGTGGACGGAAATAAAACGAAGAATTTTCTCTGGCCTGTGTGTGTCTGGTGTCTCGGAGAAATTGGGGAGCGGTTGGTCTTGACAACAGAATAACAGAAGTGACAGTGGCCAGGCGCACACGGCACCCGCCGGGGTTGAGGCGGCGCCCAGCCCAGATCCAGGCCACGTGTTCCTGCAGAGACCGAGGAAGGCGCCGGCGTCAGCTTGCACACTCGGGACACCGAAACAAGGCTGAGTGGCTGCCGCACGTACTGTGGGAGCCCTGTGCTGGGGTGGGTGGGGGCGAGAGGTGGCTTGGTAGCCACGGCCAAGATGAGATGCACCCTGTCCACCCCTGTACTGAACCGTGAAGGTTCAGTATGTGGCATGAGCGTCTGCAAGCAGTTTGCAAAGTTATTTCCATAAATATAAGAAGAAGAAGGGGTGGTTCTTCCCAGTGGGTTGTGCTGGGGGTGGGGGGGGAATACAGAGCCCTGATGACAGCTCCATACTGGCAGGGTGTCTGGCAACTATCAGTTACAAGTAACAGCCACTGGCCATTGGATACGCACAAGAGGTTAATTTGCTATTGGAGCCAAACCTCTGATTCTCTTGATCTTTCCTCATGGCCCCAAAATGGAGGCCACCGCTCTGGGCATTGCATCTGAATCCAGCACTGGTGATCAAAACTTTCCCAGCAGACTGGTAGATTTCTGCTTCTACCTCACTGTCTAGAGGCGGTGATTCCTGGCTGCAAGGGAGGCTAGGGACAGGCATTTGGTGTCTCGGCATTTAGAGTGGAGGTTAAAGCGTGGGTGTTGCTTTGAGACAGTGTTACTGTCGAGGTGCTGAGACAGTCTGAGCGGTTGCCCAAATGATCCTGTTTGCCCAAGTGCCCTGAATCATGAACTGGACTGCTCCTCGCTACCTACGTACCTTTGTGCTGCTCCCTGGCGTCTTCTGTGGCAAGCTCTTGGCAGGGCTCGCCGCCAGGGGGCGCAAGCCACTGAGTGGGAGGGGTCACTGAGCCAGGGCAGCTGGGTTGCAGGGAGGCTGCAATTTCATGGCTTTTTGTTCAAAATGCACTTGGTTTGAAGAAAGAAGAAAAGATACAGGAAAGATCCTGTGTGGTTCTAGAGAAGACTATCGTTGAAAACCAGCTCTTGCCACCAAGTAAATAGTTTGTAAGTGAAAGTAAGATAGCCTTGGATGAAATACCAGCCTTCTTTTTCACAACACAAGCTGACGTGCACACTGGGGTGTGTTTCCCTGAGTTCTGAACAGACCCCAGCCTGATATCCACCCTGCATCCGGGCAACTAGACCTGGTTTTCAGGCAAGGGGACCGGAAGGCGATGCTGTCTACAGAAGAGGGGCAGGGTGCTGTGCTCTATGACCCTCCCTGGCTTTGGGGTGACTCCTTGGTCCCCAGCACCCCCTCTATGTCAAAGATAAGCCTGGGCCCTGGAATTCCCTCTCCCGTGCTTCCTGGCTGGTGATTAAACAAGCTTCCTAATTCGAAAGAAGGGAATTGTGGGGACCCAGCAAGATCATGGCAGAGTGAAGACGCCGAAATCACTACTTCTGAGCTCACACAGGAATGTAAGCCTGAAAACGGACTGTAGACTTACGTACTGTGGGTTTCAACGCAAATGAGAGCACCCTGGACTCACTAGAAGGAAGATAACTGAGGGAGACTCAACAGGGGAGCTCTGATCTGGGAGCACCCGGCACTAGGAAATACCTCAGACGGGAAGCTTGCTGCTCTTCTGCCTGCTGAAGCCCGAAAGGTAAAGAGAGACAACTCAGCTCAGTGAGTGGAACCCAAGCTGTGGCAAAGACTGCTCGGAGTGGGCACATAGAGCCCTGGAGGCGGGCAGCAAGAACTGGCGACTGGGGCAATGGGAGGCTTGCAGCCCCCCCAGCGCTCCCTGCATCCCCGCCCCCACAGCAGAGGCCTGGAGACTTGTGCACCATCACGGTGTGGCCCAGCAAGGCTCACAAAGCGTGGGAGGTAAAAGAGGGAAAAAAAAACAAAACACCACAGGCCCAGCCACTGGGAAACTAGAACAACGCTGCTAACACTCCCGCGACCCCCAGGGGCACATCGGGGCACAGAGGCCCTAGGAAGTGCTTCAGAGGGGAGGCTTGCCTGCTTACCACATGGACCCACAAAACCTGTGGTAAAGCCCTGGGGGTAAAGAGACAATTCAGCTCTAGAGCGGACCCCAGCGGAGGGGAAAGACTGCTCGGAGTGGGCAGAAAGAGCCCCGAGTGGCAGAGGGAGGCCTGGCAGCCTTCTGGCATTCCCTGCATTCCTGCACTCCCTGCCCCCACAGCAGAGGCCTGAAGGCGCATGAGCCAGGAAGGCATTGCCCTGCAAGGTGCACAGTGCTCAGAAAGTCAACAAAACCAGTGACTGACTCAAGGACAGGCCTAATTGCAGGGAGACCTATAACACTTCTAAGGAGTCCACTGCCCCACCCCACCACCCCGCCGCCACATTCAAGCATAGTGGGAACTCCGGACATCTGAATGCTACAAAGATCAACAGAAGAAGCTAGAAATTCAACGGAGAAAGTCAGCCCACCCAGGTGATGTCGTTTTTTTGAGTTCGGGGTCCTTGGGTTCACTCGGGGAAGTTTCACCAGAGCTCCCCTTTCAGCGGCACTCGGCGAGATTCTCCACGAGACAGAGACTCAGTTATATTTAAAGAGGAAATTCACTAGAAGGAGATAACAGAGGAAAAGACATTTGCATGGGTACAAGTGTGGAGGAAGAGCTGCCCCGAAGGGACAGGTTTGGGGAGAGAGACCTGCAGGGTTGCAGGCAGGCGGTCTTAGGAGAGCGGCCTCTATGAGGGAGGTCAGTGCAGAGAAATCCTGGCATGGTACAGGTCATGGGCAGGCAGGAGGCTGCTGCCCTGAAGAAGGAGAGAGCAGAGGGAAAGAAGCACCTGCATAGGCACAGGTGGGCAGAGGAGCGGCTGCCTGGGGCTGGTGCAGAGACTGCCTGATACAGACACAATCCCTGGGAGGGTCACTCCCTGGGAGCCTAGGTTTGTTGACTTTGTATAGAATCTGAGAGGACCCAGAGATTCCCTAGTGAGCTTCATGTCCATCTCCAGTCCTTATCTTCACCAGGGCACCAGGCCTCTGGGCTTTGGCGCCTGAGGACCTTGAGTTTATGGCTGTGTCAGTTGCCCCCTGGCCCCTGACCTGTCCCCTTCGTGTGACTCAGTCTTTGCTGCCTCCCTCCCATTCCTTCCTCCATCACAGGCACTTCTTGCAAGCACCTTCCAGAGACTAGGACTCAACATGTTACTGGAAGAAGCTGAACACCACAAGAGAACCCTGACTGTTATGGCTGAGACAACAGACACAATTCCACACAGCCGGGGCTGGAAAAACAGGAGATATTGAAACAAAGCACAGCTCAGAATGTCCTCCACAACTACAGTGTCTGGAAGTCCTTTGGCCATCCCAGAAAGAACATCTAGAAAGAATGCCAGCCAACAATAGCAACACCATGTCTCAAGGAATAGAAAATATTAGAAAAAACACCATCGGGAAAAGAAGACTAACAAATGCTCAAGCAAGTCCACAGGGGAAAAACTCACCACAAAAACATCAGTCACCAGAAATCGCCAAAGAAATAGAAGAACTACTCAGCCTACCAGGTAGAGAATTCAAAATCATCATGATAGACAAAAAGATGAGAAAGAAAAAAATTATATGAGGCAAGCCATCAAGGAATTGAAGAATGCAAACAAGGAAATGAAAGAAATGAATGAAAGAAATGAGAAAGAAAAAAACAGTATGAGACAAGCAATCAGTGAATTGAAGAAAGAAAGCGAGACATTAAACAAGGAAATAGAAGAAAGAAGGGAATTGTGCTGCATTGAAATGTGGATCCAGGGCCCTCCCTGGTGGTGCAATGGGTTGGGACTCAGCACTGCAAGCCAGCCTCAGCCACTTCAGTGCAAGTTTGATCCCCAGCCAGGGAGGTGACCCCAGGGCGCGGCAGACCTCTCCTGACCCGCCCGCTGCTCCCCTAGGCAGTGTACTTCGTTGATCTGCCTGTGCTGCTCCCCACTCTGTCTCTGGTGAAACCTCTCACCACCCCTGCACCTCTGGCCTGTACCCCAGTTCTGTATGCACAACTAAAAAAAAAAAAGTGCTTACTTAAAAAAAAGGGATAAGTCATCTCATGTTGGAGAGATGTGACTGAAAAGTGAAGGGAGGAACTGCTCACTGATAAAAGGAAGTGATACTTCCCTGTGGGGGAGGCTGGGCTGGGCCTGTTTCCTTTTATATATTTGTGATCAACTCAGCACAATTTTCCTGGTCAGCAGTTTTCCAGCCTAGATGACGACCGGGTCTCCTGGGAGCAGAGACTGGGGAAGAGGGATGAAGAAAACAACGGTGAGACCTGACTGGGCTGGCCTGTGGGGACCTCTCTCCTGCTCTGACCTTGGAGGAAGCCGGGCCTGGGGAGGCCGGTCCCTGCCTCGGAGGGCTACCGCAGAATCCCCGCATCCCTGGGCGGAAGCGAAAGTCCCACCTCACTGGCCACAATCACCATCGAGTGGTTATGGAAGATCAAAGCCAGCCCCCAGCCAGGAGTCTCCCACAGGCGGAGATAAGTCAGCCTCACAGCCAGCCGGCCTCCCTCCCTGGGCGCAGGCAGGCCGAGAGCTGCCTGCTCACACAGACCGCGCCTGAGGGTGAAAACCAGAAACCTGCTCAGCTGTCAAGTCCTGCTTGGTCGCTGTGCTTTTGGGCATAAAACAATGACAACTTTTTTCCTTATTCCCTTATTTCTCTCTCTTTGACACATGGATTTCTGCACCAGATTCCCTTGTTTTATAGGAATAAAATCACACTCAAGAAAACATTGGTGTGAGCCCTCCCTGCTGGCACGGGGGTTGGGGGTTAAGTCTCAGCACTGTGAAGCTGTGCCCCGCCACTGCAGCAGGAGTTCGATCCCCAGAGTGACCCCAGGGCCCCGCAGACCTCTCCTGACCCGCCCGCTGTCCCCTCAGCAGCTCACTTTGTCCATCCGCCTGTTCTGCTCCCCGCTCTGTCTCTGGTGAGTCCTCTCTCGCACATCCCCCACCTATGGCCTCCACCCTGGCTCCTCTAAACACACACAAAAACCAGAAACATCTAGGAGCAGACAACGCCCCTCTTGAGTGTATGTCCACAGAATATGACACCATTAGCAAAACGCCAGTATGTGCCGCCAGGCTCACAGCAACACGTCTGGCAACAGCAGGGACACGGACGCCGCCTGCACGCCTGTCACAGACAAACGGCCATGGAGTACTACACAGCCGTAAGCAAGGACGGCTTTTCAGCAAAGTACAGGGAGTCTGAGAGAATCCTACACAGCAAAGTAAGTTAGGATGATAAAAAAAAAATGTATCCAGATGGTGCAACAGGTTAAAGGGCAAAACCCTGACGCTTCGCCGCCGCTGCTTGTGGGTCACCTCGCCTGACCCCGGGCGCAGCAGACCCCTCCTGTCTCCGCTGCTCCCCTCAGTGGGCTTCAATGGCTCTGCCTGGCCTGCTCCTCACTCTGCCTCTGGTGACTCCTCTCAGCCCCGCACCGCCGGCCTGTGCCCCAGCTCTTGTGTGCATAAGTCAATTAAAAGGGATCTTACAAAAATGGGAAGATGAAATTATTTAAAATGTCCAGGTGGCAATCTCAGAGCAGCCCCAGGGGGGAGGCCTGCGAGCCGGGGGCTCCTGGCGTCCCGCTTCCCACCGTGACAGCAGGAGCCTCAGCCCAGGCCCCACGGCCGGCGGGGTGGGGGGGCTCGGTGCCCTGGGAGAGCCTCTGGGGGTGGGTTTGGGGGTCCCTGATGGCAGGGCCTGCTTGCCTCTTTGCCCCAGCTCCTGGCACAGGTGTTTGCCGGGCAAATGAATGTGAGTGAATGAATGAAAAAGTGAATGAGTGAGTGAGTGAATGAAACGAGTGGATGGCTGGAGGGCGGATGCTGAACAGTGGGGACTGGGTGGATGCAGGGTGCATGGGCAAGGGAGAGGGTGAGAGGATGGCTGGAGGCGCGGCGGGCACATGGAGGAGTAAACGGAAGCCTGCCCTGGCCCCTCCCCGGTGCCCGGCGAGTGCCAGCCTGGCCGCCCTTGCCCAGCTGAGCCAGCGGGGCTCCTCCCGGGCGGGGCCCCGGCCGTTCTCTGCCACGCTGTTCCTGTCATGAAAGAACCGGGAAGAGGGGATGGTCCCAGACATTTGCGGCTTCAGGTTCCCTTTTTGGGGGCCCCCTCCTGCCTCCCCGGAAGCTTCCTGCAGAGCCTCTGGCACTCAGGGGCCACAGACACCAGCAGAGCCCCGGACAGGATGCTGCGGGCCCCCAGCGCCAGGGGCGGGCGGCTGCTGCTGCTGCTGCTGCCCCTGGTGTGGCCCGGGGAGCCCTGGGGCGGGGCGGGCGTGGCCGCGGCTGAAGCTGTCACCGCTTGGCCTGCGGGCGCCCAGGGGCTCTCGGCGTGGGCCGCAGGGTACAGGCTGCGTGTGCAAAGCCAGGTGGCGGTGCAGGAGGGGCTGTGCGTCCGGGTGCCCTGCTCCTTCTCCTACCCCTGGGGAGACGCGAGAGCCGGGGGCCCCGTGTACGGCTACTGGTTCCAGAGAGGCGCCTCAGACGTCCTCGTGGCCACGAACCACCCAGCCAAGAAACTCGACAAGGGCATCAGACCCACGTTCCACCTGGGGGACCCCGCGGCCCACAGCTGTGCCCTGTACATCAGCAGCGTGCGCCGGACGGACAGCGGCCAGTACTACTTCCGCGTGGAGAGCAGCGCCGGGAGACACAGCTACAAGGCCCAGCCGCTCGCGGTCAGGGTGACAGGTAGAGCAGCCCGGGGCGTGGGAGGCCTCTCGGCCAGGCCAGGCCCCTCCCCTTCCCGGGGGCCGGGGGTCCCGGCTCAGCGCTGCACCCCTCCCTCCCCCAGCGCTGACGCAGGCCCCCGACATCGTGGTGCAGCAGCCCCTGGAGGCCGGCAGGCCCAGCCGCCTGACCTGCTCCTTGCGGGGGGCCTGTGCCGAGGCGCCCCCGGTCATCACCTGGACCGGGGCTGCCCTCAGGCCCGCGGCGCCCGGCCGGGAGGGGCATAAGTTCTCGGAGCTCCTGCTCATCCCGCGCCCGCGGGACCACGGCACCGACCTCACGTGCAGGGTCTCCTTCCCCTGGCCCGGCGTGAGCACGGAGAGGACCCTCCGGCTTGACGTGTCCTGTGAGTGCGGGGGCTGTGGGGAGGTCACAGGCTCGGGGGGGCTCTGGGCAGCGCCCCTCACAGTGTCTCCCGGTGCTAGACGCCCCCCAGAACCTGACCGTCAGCCTTCTCCGAGAAAACTGTGCAGGTAGGCCGGGTCGCCAGGGCTGGGGGGCGGGTAGGGGGCGGGGACCCTGGCACGCGGGTGGGGGTAGGGACGCCACAGCAGGACGTCCTGCTGGCCCTCCTGGCCGGCCTCCTGGCACGGACCATCCGCAGCCAGAGGTGAGTCCGAGGGCAGCAGCACAGCCGCAGCCCGTCCCAGCGAAGCCCACCTCCAAAGCCCTGAACCCCGACCCTGCCGGCCCCTCCGCCCCTCCTCGGGGCGCTGCCGTGGAAGGGGGTGTGGTCCGGCCTTGGATGCATCTGGCATCACCTTGTCTTTGATGGAGGTGTCATCGACAGATAAACACACGCACCAGGAGAGCAGGTCCCGGACTGGGGGGCCCGGCTGGTCGCTGAGGCCCCAGGCCTGGCCCGAGTCACCAGCGTGCTGGGAGGGCCAGCACACCCAGCTCCGGGGCCTCCCTCCAGGGACCGAGCGATTCAGCGGCACTCAGGACACTCACCGGGCTGTGCCACCACCTCCTGATCCAGCCCCAGAACATCCCCATTCCCCAGAGCCTGCCCCTTCCCTGCCCGCCCGCCACCATGCGCTTTCCGACTCGGTGCGCCTGCCTGCCCCCGCCCCGGCGGGGCGGCCATTCTGGCCTCCGAGACTGGCTTGGTCACCTCACCGCATGTCTCCAAGCTGCTCACGCACTAACCGGGGCTGGACTGCCTTCCTGTTAATGGCTGCGTAATATTCCCCGGAGGGGGCAGCCACTCTTGGTTTCTGTGTCTTGAATGTTGGACGCTGGGGGTCTCCCCCTCCTGGCCCTGTGCCGTGGTCCGAACCTCCCCATGCAAGTATCTGTTTGAGTCCCAGCTGTAGGATTTGGGGGATCTGAGTGCTGCAACGGAGCTGCAAGGTCAGGCTTCCTTCACTTTTTGGGGGTGTCTCCCTCATGTGCGCTGTGGCTGCACTGTTCTCTGGCCCTGGTGATGGAGTTGTCTTCTGAGCAACGCAGCAGGAGGGGTTCATCCTGTGTCAACAGGGGAGCGCGGAAGCACACCCAGGCAGGAAGGCGGGAGGCGGGCTGGGCCCGAGGGGGTGGGGCCGAGCTGCCGGGGCCTGCTCCCTCAGCCCCCCCTTGGGTGCAGTGGTGCCACTGGCAGCCGGCAGCTGGCTTGGCAGTGCTACTGAGTCCTTCCTCCGGGCACTTCTCCTCAAGCTGTGCTGAGCTTGCAGATGGCTTCAGGATCTCGTGACGGCCGACGGCGCTGGAAGGCCACAGGCGCTGCGAGCCGCCGACGTGATGCTGGCTCTGCGTGGCAGTAGGGGTGCCAGCGAGAGCCCCTCCGAGAGCCCTGCCGCGCAAGCCCTCACCCCGGGGGTCCCCCTCTCCGTCTGCATCTGTCTTTCCAGAGCGGGAGTACCTGGGGAATGGCTCATCCCTTTCAGCCCTGGAAGGGGAGTCCCTGCGCCTGCTCTGTGCCACCGACAGCAACCCGCCTGCCAGGCTGAGCTGGGCCTGGGGCAGCGGGACCCCGAGCGCCCGCCTGCCCTCCGACCCAGGGGTCCTGGAGCTGCCCCGGCTGGAGCTGGGGCACGAAGGCGAATTCACCTGCCATGCTCAGCACCCTCGGGGCGCCCTGCACGCCTCCCTGCGCCTCTCTGTACAGAGTGAGTGGGGGCGCAGGGGGCCTGGGTCCTGGGGGCGCATGGGCAGCGCTGACCCCTCCTCCCCCCCTCAGGCCCCCCGCGGCTGCTGGGCCCCTCCTGCTCCCCCGAGGACGACGGGGGTCTGCTCTGCCTCTGCTCCGCCCGCGCCCGACCGGCCCCCGCCCTGCGCTGGCGGCTGGGGGAGCAGCTGCTGGCGGGGAACAGCAG